ACGTGCCAGGGACTGATGTGGCGGTGGTCCCGTTCAGCGGCAGGGATAGGCGGGCGGGCATCCAGCTCCTGGCGCAAGGCAAGGAGGTAGTTGGCAGAGGGGCCAGGCAGGTAGGCAGAGCGAGGGATGACAGGGAACCAGGAGTGGTTGTTGGCTGCTTGCTGCGAGAGGCGCTGCATCCAGCCCATGTCCACGGAATCGACCGCAAGCTTGTGAATGTCAAGGGCGTGGGCGATGGCGTGCTTCTTGTTGGTGAACATGAGGGAGCACCCCTCCTGCGGGCATGCAGCGCCCCACTTGCGCTCAAGGCCCTGGTACTCCACATCTCCAGGCGTGACGGTAGGCCATCCAGACTGAATCGACCCTTCGTCCACCAGCGCCTGCAGCACATTCCTATCAACCCTGAGCTTGGCGGGCTTACGGTGGTGCGAGATGGCGGCAGCAGGTGGCTTGTGGTGGTGCGAGACAGCGGCAGTGGGGGTGACAACAGATTTGCAGCCCACACAGACCAGGGCTTCGAGCCGCCTATTGATCTGGAAGCCCCAGGTGGCGAGGGTGCCCTCTGGGACATCATAGAGCTAGATATAATGATAAGCCAGGCATAGAGCACATGATATATTGATACTTACCTCTGACGCCTCATCCTCAGGCTCTGGAGATGGAGGGGGGTCTACAGACATCTCAGATGCATTGGAGCGCCCCCCTGGGCTACGCACAACATCCATGGGGGAGGCAGGGTTCCTGGGGGTAACAGGTCTTGAAGGCTATAGAATATTTGAGTGCTGTGAATATTTACAGGATTATATGACTTACAACTGGGGTGGCAGGGGCAGAAGGGTCTTCAGGGATAGGAGGGAGAGCAGCAGCAGGCATCTAGAATATATTTTAAATATTTGAAGATACAGAGAATATAAAGAAGCACTCACCTTCCAATCATCATGTTGGACCTTTCTTAGATGTGCAAGCAGAGAATTGTAAGAAGCAAATTTTCTGCTACAAAGCACACCCTCTTTACTGAGACACATACAAATAGCCCTAGTATCAGGCTCAGGACCCCTTTGAACAGGAATAAGGGGCCCTGTTTTAGATAGAGGATGCAAATGAACAGAGAACAAAAACTTGTGGCAAATTCTCTCATGATCACTTGGAGCCTTATCATAAGAGGTGTTGCACAAGCTACAGTGACCAGGCATTGTTGATGCTGAGATTAAGCAGAATAAGCAGAGTTGGGGGATTTGATGGTGATGGTAAGAGGTCAAGAGAGGGTTTACTGATCAGGATTGAATATGGATTAGAGACAAATATGGACAAACAAGAGTTGCCTGGCAGGCAAGGTTGGTCACAAGATTATATAATCAGTCACTTTTTGTGACCTAAGTTGCCTGGCAGGCAAGGTTGGTCACAATATTATATAATCAGTCACTCTTTGTGACCTAAGTTGCCTGCCAGGCAAGGTCAGTCACAAGATTATATAATCTGGTCACACTATGACCTAGTTACATCAGCTGCCCACATCAAGATATGATGTCATTGATCTATGTATCTAGGGTCAGGGTTGATAAGGGGAGACCTCAAATGCTTAGATAATCACCCTCCATCAAAATATGATGTCATTGATCTATCTAGGGTCAGGGTTGATAAGGGGAGACCTCAAATGCTTAGATAATCACCCTCCATCAAAATATGATGTCATTGATCTATCTAGGGTCAGGGTTGAGTGGGGGAGCCCCCAATTGATTATATAAGCCTCCCTGGCAGAATACTACACAATGTAGTAAGCTCATATTGAGAGAACCAGACAAGATCAATTCATGATTCAAGGTGCGTTGTGTAGCCCTCAATCAGGGCTATAGAATGGTGCCAAGATGCGCATTTACTACATGATTTTTGGGCGAGATATGAGCATTTTATGCATGTGCCACTCAGAGTTTACTACACAATGTAGTAAGCTGATATTGAGACAACCAGGGCAGGTAAAATCATGAAACAAGATGTGTTGCGTAGCCCAGGCATAGGGCTATCAGACCATGAAAAGAAGTGAGTTTACTACATGGGTTTTGGGCAAGATATGGACCCTGCACTGGTTCTGCACACAAAGCTTACTACATTATGTAGTAAGCAATTATTCAGGCATCCAGGCCAGGTAAAATCACGGCATTACCTGCACTGTGTAGCCCTGATCCAGAGCTATTGGACGACAACAAGAAGTATATTTATTGCATGTCTTTTGGGCAGGATATGGACCCCACACTTACTGGCTGCCCAAAGCTGACTATTGTTTGTAATCAGTGATTATCACAATAACCAGCAGAGATAAATTTAAGCTGTGAATGACGCTGTGTAGCCCTGATGGAGGGCTATAAGATAGTGTCAAAATATGTGCCCGCATCCAGTGTTGTTGCTAAGATATGAGCCCGCATCCATGGCTCCCTCAGATGGATGCAGGGTGAATGCGGGGGCATTGCGGAGAAACGGAGAAACTAGCATAGCCACCGACACGACACTATCACCATTGCATAGCCCTTGATCAGGGCTACTAGAAAATGCCAAAATATGTGCCCGCATCCAGTGTTGTTGCTGAGATATGAGCCCGCATCCGTGGCTCCCTCAGATGAATGCGGGGTGGATGCGGGGCAATTGCAGGACAACCAGCGCAGCAAATGACATGAAACGACCACTGTTGGATACCCTGAGCTCAGGGCTACAAGGGCGACTTGACATAGGTGCCCGCATCCAGGGTCCTTGCTGAGATAGGGCCCCATACATGCTATAACTACCTTGTATTGATTGGATGCGGGGTGATTGTGAGCCCATTACTGAGGCTAGTCGCATGCAACCTGTATAGCTGTGTAGCCCTTGATCAGAGCTACCAGAAAATGCCAACATATGTGCCCGCATCCAGTGTCATTGCTGAGATATGAGCCCGCATCCGTGGCTGCCTCAGATGGATGCGAGGTGAATGCGGGGTGGATGCGGGCCTATTGCAGAAGAGCCTGTGCGGAGAATGACATGAAACTACCACCATTGGATAGCCTGAGCTCAGGGCTACAAAGGAGACTCAAAATATGTGCCCGCATCCAGGGTTCTGGCGGAGATAGAGGTCTGCATATGCTATAATAGCCCTGTATTAGATGAATGCGGGGCAATTGTGAGCCCTCTACTGAGGCTAGTCCTACGCAACCTTCACAGCGGTGTAGCCCTTGATCAGGGCTACCAAAATATGCCAAAATATGTGCCCGCATCCAGGGTCGTTGCTGAGATACAGGCCCGCATTTGTGGCTGTCTCCAATGAATGCGGGGTGGATGCGGGGAAATTGCGGAAAGACTAGCACAGCCACTGGCACGAAAATACCACCATTGCATAGCCCTTGATCAGGGTTACAAGAATGTCCCAAAATATGTGCCCGCATCCAGGGTCCTTGCTGAGATATGGCTCCGCATCCACACGAATAGCCCGAGGCTGATACTTGGGCTTGGACCTTGTTGATGTCATGGTCGTAGCTTGTAAGCAGGGTCGTTGTGAGGTCATATAAGGGTGATACATACCCAGGGGTACCCTGAGTATTGGCTAGACTATAGGCAAGGGGGTGGAGAGGGCAAGTTGTTGAAGCGGGTGCACAGCCACAATCGCACCAGATTCTGATAGCCCTCGATCAGGGCTACCAGAATATACCATAATATGACCCCGCATCCAGGGTCCCCACTGACATATGAGCCTAGATAGTGAGAGGGCCACAGGTAGCCATGGGTCAGAGTGGGTGCACAGCCACAATCGCACCGGATTCTGGTAGCCCTTGATCAGGGCTATAGGAATATACCATAATATGACCCCGCATCCAAGGTTTTCATTGAGATATGAGCCCGCATTCACCCAGGACTTTTTGGTTACACCCGCATCCGTTGAATGCGGGCCCTGTTCTCGCCGACCAGCGCAGCCACCAGTGCGATACCACCACCATCGTGTAGCCAAGAAGCAGGGCTACCAGAAAACGTGCGAATGCGGGGTGGAATTCTCAACGGTTCCCTAGCTATGGCCTCCGCATTCAATCCGCATCCATCCGCATTCGTGCCACTGAGCTCAGTGGCAGGTTTTATAGAGATAGGGCCACGTCGAATGCTACGCGCAAGTCATCAGCTTGGCATTCCATGTTAAGCTCGGCAACGTAGGTCCAGCCTGCGCTCGGTAG